AGACTTCTGTGTGCCCAGTTCCTTTTATTAAAAGCTTCAAATCCAGAGATAAAGTCGGCTGGCGCTCCAAGCGCTGAGCATTCATCTGTCTCCCGGGGAGCAGGACCCAGAATCTAAACGAAGAAAAGCTTCATCAATAGAATTCATGAATTTCCTCCAGGAACAGGACCCCACGGAGCAGAACGACCAGCAGGGGGTCCTAATTGCGGTTTTCTTTGCGTAGATGTTCATGGGAAGTGCTGGGGAACGCTCCTTCAGTCCACTAGGGTCGGCAAGCTATGGCCCACGGGACAAATCCTGCCCGCTGCCTGTTTTGTGTGTTTCTGTACGGCCCGTGAATCAAGAATGTTTTTTTTTTTAATTTTTCTTTCATTTTTAAATAGTTGAAATGAATCGTAAGAAGAGAAACATTTCATGACATCTGAAAGTTGTGCGACATTCCAATTTGTGTCCAGAAATACAGTTTCATTAGAACGCTGCCACACCCGTTTGTTGGCGTGTTGCCTGTGGCTGCTTTCGAGTGATGGCACTGAGGAGCTGACGCTGAGACCAGTATCTAAAATATGTTCTCTGTGGCCACTTGCAGAAAAAGGGTGCGTACCCTTGGGTCGGGAGGCAAGACCCGACTATCAGGAGTATTTACACTTAAGGCTATAAAACATATATGCACAGTTAAAGAATTATAAAGCAGACACCTGTGTACCCTAACAAGAGCGTCAGAAAAGAAAATATTGCTGGTCAGCACCCCAGAAGTCTGTGTGTCCTTTCTTCCTGACCAGAGTTAATCAGTACCTGGACCCTTATGCGAATGGATATCTTCTTTGTTGTTTCATATTTCCACCACCTGAGATCTGCAAGTCAATCACGCTATGATGAGAGGAGAACGCCGTTCTTTTCTTGTCTGTCTTGCGTCTTTCTCTCAGCCTGGTTTGGAAGACTCAGCTCCGAGTCTGTGTGTGTAGTTCCGTTAACTGCCTTTGCTGCGTGGCATTTCGCTATATTGTGTTAGCAAAGTTGATCTATTCATTTGACTGTTGATGGACAGTTGGGGCATTTCCAGTTTGGGGCCATTGTGAATCGCATTGCTATGAACGTCCTGTATCTGAACCATCACTGACTTATGCAAGAGAGTCTCCCTCGAGAGGGCGGAACTGCTGGATCGCGGCTCATGCGCACCGTCAGCTCCACCAGGGAACGCCAAACCATTCCCCCAAGACACTGGACCAAATCGCGCTCCCACCAGCTGCCTCCTTATTTCAGGAGCAGAGAGGGTCTCTGAGTCTTGTCACTTGGCACCATTTCCATCTTCAAAACCTGAACCACAGTCCCTTGGGGAGCCAGACAGGGTGCGTGAGAGCCATCGTCTCTTCTGCTGGGTACCTTACGTCTTATAAATGTAGCAAGAAAACAGTCAGTTTTCCAGTCATGATCCTTGAGAGAACATGAACTCTTTTCGGCCTTGGCTGTACAGGTCAGCCAGGTGTGAGAATGCCCTGACCACCCCCCGACCCCCACCGCTCCGACTCCCATGATGGGAGCTGAGGAAGGAAGTGCATCACAGCCAAGGGGTCAGGCGGTCTTCCAAAGCCTGTGGCGTGGACGTGGACGGGGCAGGGGGTCAGGGGGAAGCAGGGAATGGTAACTGCCCTTTTCTCCTCTGGGAGAAGGGAGGGCTTCAGAGGTGGGGGTATCAGCTCAAGGGAAGCAGATGCTTGTGTCTTTTTCTGCAGGGTTTTAGGAAACCGGGGCGGAACAGGGCTGATCCCCAGTGGCCAGGGCGCCGTAACCCCCTCACCTGAGGGACCAAGCACTCAGCGGCATTTCTGAAGCGTGATGTCGCGTTACACTGAACAGGCACACATAAGCCCCGAGCCCCAGCACATTTATCCAGTTTGGGAAGCAGATTAATAGAATAACCAATAAAACATGTATAAAAGCTTTAATTAAATCTGATGAAATAAAACTTCATGTTTTATTTATGGACACTCCCAACATGTAAAGGATTCAGGGACACATTCATTTTTACTGCCATTTCGTCTTCATATCTATAATTAAATCCAGGCTACAGCTCTGGCCCAAAGCAATGCGGCATTTTAAAGCCGGCCTTGGACTCGCCCTCCCCCACCCCCATCTGCTTTTAATTATAATTACCATCCCAATAAAGGAAGGGAGGCTTACGGTCAAACAAAACAAAATAATAAAACAAACAAACAAAAAGGTTGTTACCATTGTGTTTTAAAAGGACATGCTGGAGGCGGATTTCAGGCAGGTGGGTGTACCTCTATTTCCAGTTTTATTCTGTACCAAGTGCACAATCCCTTCATTTTACTTTTGACATTAAAAAAAAAAAAAGGACTTCATGAAACAAGACAAAATAACTTATGATTATACGAAACATAACTGTGACAAATCACAAAACTATACATATTAATAGAAAAAAAGTGTACCTAATTCTTTAAAAGATTTATGACAATAAGCACCAGATGTGTGCCCCTAAAGTAAAATCGGCCCCATATCCAGTATGATAGATGCAGTTCGTTTCTCTACGTGAGTGTATAGAACAATGTACAAGAGTCTGTGTGATTTATGGAAAACAGATTTCCACTTTTCCCCCCCAAAGTGCTTTATGTCAGCAACATTACACAGGATGTTCCGCTCTCTGCACAAAATAAATCTCTTCTTTTTTTTTTTTTTTTTTTTTTTTCCATTGCAAAAAAAAAAAAAAAAAAAGGAACGAAAAGTGCCATTTAAAATGCTGCTATAAAACGACATGGTCAAAACAGTCAAATAAAATACCAAATAATTGAAATGGACATTTATTTCCCAATACGTGGAGGCACCTGGGAAGTCCAGGCTCTCGGGCAGACAGGGGAGGCGAACGCCCACCTGCTGTGGTTTACTCATGTGCTCGAAGCCGCTGGTGGGCTAAACAGGACAGAAGCGTGAACAGTGTTCTATCAGCGGGTCCCCTGAAGGCCTCCGTCCACTTCAGAGTCACCTGTGCAATTTGGGGGAGACACGGTTGAAGGGAGACACCCCACAGGACCAGGAGACACTCAAATAATATTTAACGGCCGATCAGAGGCTAAATTACAACTGACGTTTCGAAGTGGTCCCTTCAGGGAATTAAGACAATGCAGCAAATGAAATGTCTCTAAGCAGACTGATTTTTTTTTTTTAATGTAATAGGAGAATTAGCTTTGGGCTGTGTGTATTTTCACGAGCAACAGTTTTTGTTTTTGTTTGTTTTTGTTCCCCAAAAAAAGGGGAACGACAATCTCCATTCAGATGTGTATGAAAATGGTTACATATCGAGACCACAAAGGCCAGGAAATGGAAGGGCATGGATTTTTCGAAGTTTCTGCTTTCGCTGGCTACGGACACAATGACGAATGCAGATATAAATCTCGCGCAACGCTGGAAGCAAGAGAGGGACAGATTTTAAGGTCAGGTGAGACTCTGGAATCTAAGGACAGCCTGTGTCATCTACAAGGGGCCCGAATGTGTCGTGCCCCGAGGCCCTCACTCAAACCCACGGCAACTGGGATACACGTGATGGGAATGTGAAGGGACAGCCGACCTTGCAGGCCACACTGGGCCCAGATTCAGCCTCTGGCTTCGCCCTTCCCCCCTCTGCACCCCCCGCCCCTGCAAATTACAGAAAAGCCACGAGGCCTGGCCGAGACCACTGCATTAACATCCCTGCTTTTTGTCATCTTTTTCCTCCCTCATTGCACAAATGCAGTATGTTCTGAGCTCCCCACGCAGGCTTCAGTATTCGAGAATGGCCACGCTGTCTCTCCAAAGACACCAGAGCTTTACCTTCCTTTGTAGGGTGTGACAAAGGACACGCAACGGATGGCAGTTAGCACGCATGTGTCCTAGGTTAGGCCAAGTGCCGTAACCCAGCAAGTCTGCAGGGAGGGAGGAGGCCCGGGGGCTCATCTGGAAGGGAGGCCCTCCTTGTAAAGCAGAGCACATCTTTGTGAAGTGGGTAACTGAGCCCTTTCGCGGGCCTGGACCCCTACACGGTGGCCTTTCTCAGATCAGAGCCCACTAGTCGGCTGACCCGCGCGCGGCTGAGTCCCCTCGCCCTGCGTGCTGGGATCCAGTCCGCGTCAGGGAGCGCAAGCCACCTCGCAGCCCCACTGGAAGGACCGGTCCGTCCAGCTAACCGGTTAACTCTTCCGGAAGACGGTCCCCATCCCAGCGGGCACACTGCATTGTTCCATTTGTGTTCAGAACACATACTTAAGGAGAGAGAAAAGAAACGTGATAGTTCTGGAATGCCGGGGTTTACCGGGGGTCTCTGGGGCTTGGCTCATTTTGGGGGCCTACGCGCACGACTTAACGATCTTTTTTAACAGCTTTGTAAATGCGTCGCGGAGAACGGCTTCCTATTCAGGTCTGCTATCAAATGACGAAGCTCTGTGGAAACCCCAGGCCCTCAAACAAGAGTTTCAGGGAAAAAGTGAACTTCTGAGGCCCGATCCTTCCCTTCCCCACCCCCGCCTCCCCGGGCAGACCTTGCCAGGAGCGCTGGTCAGGCAGTGGCCGTGCGCGAGTGGGGACAGAGACAGGAGGAAGGTGACGAGAGCAGGGAGGGAGAGGAGAGTACGGGGGAGGGACAGACAGACGGATGAGTGGACATCCTGACGGAGGCAAGCAGAGGCTGTGCAAAATAACTGGACATCGGGCCCCTCTCGTTTGGTTTTCTGGGAAAACCCAGGATCTCAACCCAGTGTGTCCCTGGCCCCACGTCTTCTGGCACAACCCTGGGCGCGGCGCTTCCAGAGTGGAGGCGAAGGGTCCACCAGTCAAGTGATCTTTTCTGCTGAACAAGGTCTTTGAGGGGGAGTCGCCTCCAACAGTCAGCCCACCAGGGTTTCTGCTACGGCACTGGAGGGGGGTGGGTGCACCCCATTTCCCTCAGGCGGCTTTTGCTCAGTGCGAAACTACCACTCCGGGGGCGGCTCGCCGGCGCTGCACGGTGGGCCCAGGTGGAGCACCGGCTGGGGCAAAAATGGATGTAGCTGGGCTGATTAAGATAATTTTTTCCATCCAAAGAAGAGACCTCTAAATATTTCTTTTCCTTTAAAAGTAGGTGTAAATAACAAGTCTTTAGCATAAAAGAACTAAGATAAGTTGCTGGAATATAAAACAGGTTGTAGTGCCTTTCAAGGGACTGTGCTTATAGAACTTCATCTTGCTTCTGGGAGAAATACTGAAAAGCGATCGGTTAGCGCAGGGGGAGGAAGAGCGGAGACGCAGCCAGCTCGCTGGGGTGCCGGGGAAGGGCTCCTCTGAGAGCTGAGCCCGAGCGGAGCTTTGGGTGCAGAATTCCCTCGTCTGGTCCTCAGGGCCAGCAGGGAGGACGCGCACGGGGAGAGGCAGTTCTCGGTGCTTCGGGCAACCTGGGTTTTCCTTCCCTCCTTGGAGTTTGGTGCCGGGTGATCCCCAAACTACAATTCCACGTGTGCGTCATTTCAACGGTGTCCTTTGAGGGCTGACAGCTGGAAGGAACAGGTGTCCAGTAGAGTGACTCTAAATTCCCTTTGAAGAGACCGTCCAGCAGCTCACCAGCAAAGCCAGAGAGAAAGAGCAGCAACCGCACAAGGCCCCGGAAAGGCCGGCCCTGACCGGTCCTGCCTGTGACTTTGCAGGGCCCGCGGACGTGGCTGAAGTCCTTTCCATGCAGTCAGTGAGGGTGTGAAAGTACAAGGTGGCGAGCAACACAAAGGTTCCGGAGGCCAGTGGTAGTGGAGGCCAAGCGAGCTTTTAGCTTTCGGTATAGACAGAGGAGAGCTGGCTAGGACAGCGGTCCACAGCGCTGAACTGCAAGAATGTGGCGTCTTCAGGCCCGCCGCGCAGAGACTCCCCGAAGAGGCTGGAGGAGCCTGACGGCAAATCATACACTGGAAGAGAAACAGCAGAAGTCAACAATCCCGCCTGTCTACGCACCCGCCGCGTGTGCCCTGTGGCCAATGCTGAGCAGCGGTCCCGGGCGAGGCCCTTCAGCGGCTCTGTGTCCTCAGGGACCTCGGTGGGGAAGGAGGCTGTCTTGCAGGCCCATGGCCAAGGTAAGTCTCGGCAGAAAACATGGGCTGAGTACTAATAAAAGTCAAGTGTTCTAGGGAAGCGTGAAGGTGGCCTCAAAAAGGAGATCATCACAGCTGAGTCATAAAGAAAGATGGGAGTCTTACAGATGGAGAGATAAAGAGAACATTCTAGAAGGAGGAAACAGAGCACAAAGACAGAGAGCAAGGGGCTGTGGGGCCACATGCATTGGCAGCCCATGTAGGGAGACAAGTGTGAGGTCAGGCCTGGAGAGTCTGACCAGGCCTATCTTGGGGGGCCATGACTGCCTCGCCGAGAGGAGACTTTATTCTTTAGGCAACTGGAGACTAAAGTATTCAAGGAGGAAAGGGGCTTATTTTGTCTTTTGCTTTTGGAAGGCAATGTTCATGGTGGTCCAGAGGGAAGAATGGTCAAGACAGAGTTGACTCACGGAATGTGCTGGAAGGCTACACCTACTGTCACAGTCTGGGAGGGACACTATGGCCCCTGAACCAGGGTGCTGGAGGTGGGGTTGGAGAGGAGGGTGAAGATGAGAGATATTTTAGGGACGGATTCAAGAGGATTTGCTGTGGTCGTGTTCCAGGTCAAGTCTAGCCCCGGTCTCACCTGCTTGTCGGATAGGGTTTCTAAGTCATGGTCAACAACACACCTGCAATGCCCGAGTGGGCCGAGAAGGCCCTGTGGAACACGTCAAAGCCAGCCTGCCCCATGGGCGAGGGGGCCAGGCAGTCCTCGAAGGAAGGCGCCATGCCGCACGAGCTGTTGGGTAGTGTGGCTCTCTGGGAGTCCGGGTATTGTGGGGGACAGAAAGTCTGGAGCTGCCCATAAAATCCTGAAATGCAAACATGGCAGTGAGCTACCGCAGAACGCGAGTTCCACATGCCGCCCTGGCACAGCCAGACCCTCGCTCAGCCTGTCTTCTTGTGACAAAATACCTTTAACTCTTAAGCCCACCTGTGAAATCTTGTAAGCGAGCCTCTGAAATACACTGTTGGAGCAGAAGGTCTTCTAACCTTCAGGGGCTGATACAGCTTGTTGGTTTCGGATGTTTTTATGTCCTGCTCCAGTACTAGAAGGTGAAGGGCTCCTTACCTTCCCCAGACGCTCTAAAGAGTCCTGGAGACCATGAGCCTGACCTTCAGAGAACGGTCCTATCCGGTCCCCCCCACCATATTGGAGGCATCTTTGTAACTTCCTTTATCTTACATTCTATTCTGCTTTTCACATTTGGTAAAGCCTGAAGCACGCTCTTAACAGGTGCATTTAAAAAGAAAAAAAAAAAAAAGCAAAATTGATCTGTCCATCCATCTGTCCTTCTTCTAACAGATACATTCAAACTCCTTTATATCTTTTTCACTATGCTGAATAGGTCCCACCCGTAGGATGGGATGTGCTAGAATATATTATCGTTGTTGATCTTTGCAGTAAATGGGAAAACTGGAAGTGAAGACGCAATGTAATGAAGAAATAGGAGGAAAGGTTTCTTAATATATTAAAATAATCATCAACGTTCTGCTGATCATGTTTCACTGATGTCCTTCCATTTTTTTTTCTTGTGTAATGGAGTCTTCCTTGGGGTATCTGTGGTCCTTTCCCATGATCCTCCACACCTTCCAAGATATGTCACTTTTTCTGCTTCCTCCTTGCCTCGTGATACGCTTAAGTCAATGGATTATTTTCCTGGAGCATAAGATGCTTTTAAAAATCTAATAATGAAATCTTCATTTGATACATTTTTTGAAGGGAAGGTTGTAGGTCTTTGTGTCTGTTCCCTCAATGACAACATGTGTCCATTTCACTGGCTATAGTGAAGATTAAGGGATAAGGAAGACCATATATAACATTTTAAGGTGCTTTATAAACATCAGTTATTCTTGGTATTGCTACTCTGTTTCTGGTAGGAAAAAAACAGGAGGGATTTGTAGAGAAAGTGACTCAGGGCTCATATTAAATGATGAAGAACTCGGGATGAAGTCATTGGGCGTCGGGTCCCCAGTTTTGGGTGCCTTCATCCATTATATCTGCCCCTTCTTCTTAGTGATCAACAGGAAGGGGATGTATTACAGGGTTCTTTCCAGCTCTCTTTTAAGCACAACCAGGGTGCATGGCCACATCCAGCCTGCTACACTCTTAACCCTTCTTGTTTCTGGTTAGTATACTCCAGGTAGCCTGTGTAAACGCTACCCATCACCTCGGCCAGGAGGCCTATTCTGTGGTTGTTGGGGATGTCACCAAAGAAAGTGTGCTGAATTTCTCATAAAGACCCAGGCTGGCCTTCCAGGAGCTTATGATCCAAGACGGAGGGACCAGTACAGATTTAGGCATGGAGCACGGTCACAGTGGAAAATGAAATAATATCCTTTATAAGCAGACAGTAATATAATTTATATAGAATCCAGAAAAAAATGCACATAAGGTTTGGGGGGAAGGTTAAGCGCATGGATAGCAGAACAGACTAGGAAGATACCTGGGGAAATATCATGTCCAGGCAGGAGAAGAAAGAATGCGAAACCACTGGCCTTTCTGTGCAACCCCCAAAGGCTTCTGTCTGGTGGTGACAGACACATGGGCAAAGGACCAGACCACTGGAAGATTCATATAACGGATGAACCAATATGGACAAACTCAATCCTCTAGCCAACAAAGATATAAAATTAAGACAACAATAAAATACCATATTCTACCTACCACATTAGGGAGGATTTCTAGAAATCATTCTCGGTGCTGGTGTGGGAATGACGAAGTCACTTCTGCCCAGCACTGTGGACACGGGGAGAGTACAAGCCTCTTGGAAAACCACTGGACAACCTGTATCTGGAGCCCTAAAAGTGTTCACATTGATATAGGCGGAAGTGGGGGTTTTACTTCTGCAGGTATATTCTAAAACTCTTTCCCAAGGTAGAGAAGGGGGTGCCTGGGGGGCTTAGTCGTTAAGTGTCTGACTCTTGATTGTGCTCAGGTCATGTTCCCACAGTTTATGGGTTCGAGGCCCAGGTCTGGCTACATGCTGATGGTGTGAAGCCTGCTTGGGACTCTCTCTCTCTCTCTGCCGTCCCTCTGCTCCCACATGCTCTTGCATTCTCTCTAATAAACAAACTAAAAAAAAACCCACCAAAAAAACAACAACAAAAAAACCCTAAAGAAACAAAGAACAAGAAATTCTGCACACAGACAGTCATTACAGTTCAGGTTGTCGGAACAGAAAACCCAAGAGTCAAATGGGCAACCGTAAGGGGACACTTAGGCAAAGAGTGGCACACTTATGCGATGGGAATATTAAGGAGGCATTAAAACAATATTTACGAGGGGTTTTCAACAACGCGGAAAGACCGTTACATGAGGTTCAGAAGAAAACAAAAGCAAGATGTGAAGCAGAATATGGAGACTGGGTGCAGTCACGTGAGAGTGTCTGCAGAGCACAGAAGTCACCGCAACATTTCTGTTGTTGTCATCGGGCTGGTTCTGTCTGGCTTTATATAAATATATATTTTTATGAAGTATAATCTAGTGTCAAGCTAGCTAACATGCGGTGTATACGGTGCAGGCTTTATATTTTTCTGAATTTTAACAGTGGTGAAGGGCAAGTATGCTGGAACCAGACTTCCTGGGTTTAAGACCCCGCATAGCCACTTACCAGCTGCACAGTCTTAGTGAATTACGTAGCCTCCCAGTGTCTGTTTTCTAATCTGTAAAATGGGGTTAAAAGTAGTACCTAGCCTCACTGAGTTATTTATGAACATGAGAAGAGTTAATATTTACATGTTATAGAATATAACTTGATAATTACATCATTAATAGTTGTGTAACATATTTTAGTGTACACAATACATGATGCGTTTGTTAAGTGAGTAAAATTAAAAAGTGAATTTTAATTTTATGAAATTTTTTTATAAAATTAAAATTCACTTTTATAACAACCGAGTTCTCAAAAATAAACCCACCCCAACCTATTAGGAGAAATTAAATTTTCAAAAAGGCAACAGGTCAGTCCTTCAACAATAACCAAATCGAAACAGCAGCAGACATGTGGCGCACACCCGCTTCCCCGGCGTAATCCTCTGGAACAGTCTTGTCCCTGTGGGGACCTGAGCTGTGCACATCTTGCCCACATTGGTTCCCAGATCCCGCAGTGCCTGACACACATCCTGATTTCCTCGCTCACCCCTGGCGCGAGCTCAAAGCAGCACATGTCTGAGTGATCTGAAGGGAGCTTGGATGAGCAGCTTTGAGGTTTGGGTGGTTCCTTGGACTGACCTTGATTTTGGGTACCTGGCGGCCAGTCACGTATGTCGGGATGAAAACAGGACCATGGACCACACAATTGGTTTATTAGAATGTAATGTCTCCTCAAAGAGGAGAACAGACAGTATCTGCTATTTATATCACTGTGCTGGCTCTGCACACATTTGTCACCCATAAATTCCGACAGCATTCCTCAGTGTACTGTTACCCTTCCAAGAGAAGACGACATTTGTCACTAAGCTCCCACACTCCCCAAACAGGGACGCCCATCATTCAGGTATGTCAGGTACAGTGATACAGACCTTCACTGACCTTTTGTGAAAACCATTCTCTCTCTTCCCTATCTTCTCTCATGCTTCTAAGAGAGCAGAAGTGTTACCTGGCTTCAACCGACATCTGAGTGTTGTGACGTGCGAGTGTAAAAGGTGTATCGTGTGGTGAAACACACCGGTGAGGTTAACTTGTAAATCCGGAATTCTGGACTCCGTCCCCCAGGCTCCCGTCGGCCTGGATTGGAGTGAGAAGGCAGAGTGGATGGTAATTCCTACCTGTGGGCGTCCTGTCTGACACAAGAACAGTGGGAACCAGAATGCCCCACAAGCATGTCCGATCGCGGTCACAGCCAACTCGGGGAAGGAAAATCCTCTTTATTAAATCCCTCCCTCCAAGAAGCCAGTCACTAGAGATGCCAAATTTACTGGTGTGGATGGCTGTGGTCAGTCAAGTCAAAGAGCTTTAACGTATTCTCTTCCCAGGGCTGTTTTCAGAAAATGAACGAAATTAAAAAAAATTCCATTAGGGTCTTGCTACACACACGAACCCTAAGGAAGCCTAGCTCATTTTCTGACGAATGGCTCCTGTATTCCAGCGGCTGGATTTCGTGTAGTGAATCTGGATGGAACACTACCTCACGGACCAAAAGCAAAATGAGGCAAGATGTTAACACATTTCGTGGGCATAAGACAAGAGTGATGGCAAGATCAGCCAATCTGTCAGTCAGTCAGCCAGTCAGTGAGGATTATCAGGTGCTGGCCCAGGTGCTGTTGGAGAGACTAAAGAAACAGAAGATAACACCTTGTCCTTGAGGACTGATAATGCATCAGAGAGAGAGCACGCAGTTATAACAGCGTGAGAACAGACACGTACATTCAGGTGGGCAATAAATGTTAGCTGTCACCTTCAGTTATAAAACCACCTCTCCCCCATTTTCCAAGTTATTTTGCTTCTTAAAAATGGAGGGGGTGGAGGACAGGAAGGAATCTGCAGATAAATTGGCTCTACCCAACTGCAGACCCTGAAGGTCAAGGTCAAGGAGAATCATTCCTCCTCTTGGTGATTTTGGGGAAATGTTTTCCCTTCTAAAAACACACCTGGGAGCGCCTGGGGGTCTCAGTTAGTTAAGTATTTGACTTCAGTTAAGGTCATGATTTCACGGTTCATGAGTTCGAGCCCTGCGTCGGGCTCTGTGCTGTCACCGTAGAGCCCATTTCAGATCCTCTGTCCCTGTCACCCTCCCACCCCCTGCTTTCTGCCCCCTCCTCCACTCACTCTCTCCCTTTCAAAAATCAACAGTAAAAAACTAAAAACATG